GGTAAAACACAATAAGCCAATTGGCTTTAGTGTTATTCAGAGACATAGTCAGACGAACCTAGGAGAAAAAAAAACATTTAGATTTTGCTATTTGAACGGTTACTTTATTCTGTGCAAATAGTATATAAAGTAAATGCCTTGGTACCAACGTCTATGACCATGATATATTATTGTTTACTCATTTATGTGGTAGGGAATTATCCGCTCAACAAAATATCATTTTTATAGGTTTGATTTTTTCACTTTTGTCCAAGTGACTTTCTTATAATTTAAAATGAGATACTTTTATGCTAAAACGACACATAGGTGTGATGATTCTTTTTATTTATTTGAGGATATTACCACTGCTGTCTTTAAAATAAAGCCTGGGGGTACATTGTTAATTTGCACTAGAGTAAGTGTAAGCATAAGTTTTCATCGTCTCATTTCGTTCCTATTGTTTGACCGATTTAGGTTGGAGACAAGGAAATATATTTATTTATCATTTAAATCAAATGCTTAAATACATCGAATTGTAGTACTAAACGGACCACACCTTTCTCCAGTCAGATTAAAACGGATCCAGAGCTGTGGAAACTATTTTGCGTTACCTGTAAGTTTAATTTAGTGGTAACAGGAAATGTAGGAGGTAACAACCCGAACTCATTTTGATTTTCATTTTCAAAAGTGAGGGTTGGCATTTTCTAGCCCCGGCCCCTTAACAGTATATTTTTTATTTATTAAGAATATAATTAAAAGTGAGTGATTCTTGCAAAGAATAGACAAAAACTGGCAATTTACTAAATATTCGTTTATATATAAAAAGAAACCAAATTTTAATAAAACTACCTACCTATCTAAAATCAAATGGATTATAAATTGTATATCATAAAAAATGTAAAAGTTGGTAGCGCATTAGCTTTAGTGAGGCGCCATTCCAAGAACCGGCGTTCACATTTCAGCTAAGGACTTTTCTTTTAAACAAAGTCTGTCATTCACAGGAAAGATAATTTATTATCAATATAATTATCGACATAAATATCAATATAATTAGCAACATAATTATCAACCTATTTATCCAAATAAATATCAACATAAATAAAAATAATTATTGACATAAATATCAATATAATTATTAACATAATTAACATAATTATTTATCAACAAATATCATAATTATAATAATTATTAACATATTTATCAACATATATTTCATCATAATTATTTACATAATTAAATATCAACATAAATAATTATCAACATAATTAATTATCGACATAATTATTATTACAATTACCAACTATACTTATGTTAAAATAAATACGCTACGGAACACTATTACACAAGTAGGTCTTGTCCTAGGCCAATTTTTTTAAAGAAATGGAAATGCCAAATTTCCACGTTCGGTTCCTGATCCTCATAAGATAAAATAAAAACAAAACACGTCTTTATATATTTTTAATGAGTCTGCAAACAAAAATACTTATAAAATAAATGTACAATCCTTGTGAATGGAAAAAGACACGAATAACGTCTTAAATATATCGACATATCCTAGTAAAGAAACATACTAAAATTTTTATGTTTAAGCTGCTAACAAAAATTTTTTACGTTGGTAACATCATCCGACTTTATTATAATTATATCTCCATTTGATTATTGGTTAACAATGATTTGTCTGAAACGTTACAATTAAAGATAGAAAATAGTATTTGCTATGTATTATGTCGAGAGAATCATTTAAATCATGATTTGCTATTTTATGGATAAATATTATGTCCATACAATATGTTACCGCAAACTTTTTAAACACTGTTTTCTCTTTATCCGCCTCCCCCCTAGCTTCTTCCATAGAATTGAAAGTTGGAAGTTGGAATTGCGAGGAAGTCGGTCGTAATCTGAGATGAGCGTTCCCATGGAGACCAAATTAATGGCTTAAATAAATTGCAGACGGACATTGGATAAAGGTAAACTTTAAGTAGTTAACAAGATGTTGAGGTTTTTTCTTCTTCAGTCTTTTGTTACCGTTGTTTAGTGTTTATTTCGTAAAGAGTTTATTTACGGTTTCATCGAAGGTGTTTGTTTTTGCTGTTAAAAGGTTCGGGAGACAATTTGAGATCGATTAATTCAGTTCACAATGAATCGCTGAAATAAAATAATAGAATAAAACTTGAGTCATACAAAGACACAAGAAGAAGAGATCGTGATAAAATAGTTTATAACTATCATCATTATTGTGATATAAAATTAAGATCTCAATAGTTGTCATTGGTACTACTCAAAAACAAATATATGGTTATGGCATATAATGCGTTTCATTGGGAAACGTAAATTAGTTAACGGTGAATACATGTCACGGAAGTGGTTCTAAATATTTAATAAGACTTTATTTATAATCGAGATACACAGTGTTTTATCACTTGGGCTCATTTATTTCTTACGAACCATTCAGTCAGTATATTTTGTTGACCATTGATACACATATTTCTCATCCACTGCCTTAATAAATAACGTATTACCCATAAGAAAAATCTAGGCTCGGATTAATAGAACAATAATACATTTTTGTATATACAAAAAGCTATGTATATCTAAATGATTAAATCAGTTTCTGTTAAAAATAAAAGGTGTTTTGTAACCATCGCACCCCTAGATGAAAACCCAACTAAATCGAAAAACCTTATTTTTCAGAAACGACGAAAAATTGTTTTTGAAATATTGAGAAAATATATAAAAAAACTAAAAACACATTATAAAGGTAATTACTTCTAAAGCTTGGTAAGTTACCTTATTTTTAAATCGTTCCTTTAAAACCTCAAAAAATAAAAATAGTTACTCTAGTTTTGTACCGGCAGTAAGTAATCTTTTTTTGTACTAACTAGAGTTACTTTACTTTATCTGAAATATAAATTACATTACTTTTCACTGCAAAAACAAGATAACATTTTTTGGGTATTTTGAGTTACGGCTGATGTACAACGTCTTGCTTGATAAGTTTAGGATAGTTTTTACATCTACGTAGGTATTCTAGAATTAAAATGGTTAAAATAAAACAATTAATTTATTCAAATAGAAACTTATTATTTATTTACTGAAATAAAAAACAAAGGAAAATTATACATCAATTTATGAAGTTAGTTATATACAAAATTAGTATGTCCTTATTAAAACAATTATTAATTACTCACTATCTTTTATCATAATCACAGCCATAATTATTATACCTTTAGAAGGTAGCAATTCAGATACATTTATCCCCTACAAGTAAAATAAAAATTTGAGCATTCTCTCCTCCATAAACATAATATAACTACAGCCTCTGACCTATCTTTGGTAATATTCAATATAAGATATTAAAAATTATAAATTCTAGCAGTCTATATTTTCGTTTTTGTGCTATTATCACTTACTATTACCAGTAACAGTCTCAAGTTGGAAATCACAGTTCAATTATTAGAATTCTAATATCATTTAGTAACTTTATTAATATTTATAAATGCAGAAAAAAGTAGTCTCCTGATAAAATAAGTGCAACAATAGCACTTACTTCTTGTACTAGACTTCGTACCTACTCTAAAAATTGTATTACTTAATCTATATCAATGTTTTACAAAACAATTTTGTAAAAACTGTCGCAGTACGGGTTTGGAATCACATTTTTGTCGACAAGTTCTTTAATGTCTTTTTTTGCATCCGACAAAGTAATTTTTTGTGCGTATGCTCTCCTCAGATTTATTGTGATACTTCAGTACGTCTAATCTTTCTCTTATTCACCCAACATTTTTGAATTCGACCTCTACAAAAGAGGCTTTATAAAAAAAGACCATGGGACTTTCCTCTTCAACTTTGAGGACCTTTATGTCATGCTATTTTACTTGGTTTTTGTCTTCATCCATATTAAAATTCGTACCCCAAGCTTCTTGTAAAGCTTTCAAGTCATAAAAGCGATCATGTGTCATTTCATGCACTTTATATGCTGGTCCAGATTTTTTGGCAGCCCGAATCAGTTGTCTGTATAAAATATCAAATCTATGTCTCCACTGGGATGATTGTTTAGATGCATTTCTATAATAGCTAAAACACAGCTTCCAATTTCTACGACACCACGCTTCCCTTTTCAGTCTCATCCCAAAAAAACAGTCCACATTCTTAGCGTGCAAATCACTAATAGTAAAATTAAAGCAATTGATTCTAGACTTGTAAAAGGACAGGAAGACTAGCCCTTTAGGAATCTACATTACTGCCTGGAGGTCGTACACTACTATTATAGCTTTAGATTCTTTTTTGTCCTTTTCCTTCTCACTTCGAGCTAGGTCTTTCTCAAGAAGATGCTATTCATAGTCTTGCTGTAATTTTAATTTTTTTTCTTCACTGGCATTTTTGTAGCTTTCGCGCAAGTCTTTTTTGGTACCAAAAAAGCCGATGTTGAATTGCATATTAAAAATGCGTTTAAATGTTGATTCGGAAGATAGTGCGATTCGACCCGTGGAATGGAGTTGATAAATTGAACAACGCTTTCTTTAACTGCACGGTCTACTGTAAGGTGATTTTTATGTTTTCCTCTTTGCTCTCCTTCTATAAACCCAGCCTTCGTCTTTTTCATTAACGTTGTTTTAATTGCTTGATCACCCAAGTCAAGGGTGGCCTTGAAAAAGTTCTTACAAACACGAATGCGCGAGTTATTCTTTTCAAAATAGAAAGCAGTATTTAGGCTCCGATAGTTTTCGGTGCTTGTATGACGATACTTGGGCTTTATTTCGTGGGTATGCCGCACAATGTACTCCCTTTGTCGCTGAAGATCTCTGAGATTCCAAAAATGCATCAACAAATTTTTGACGAGTTGTAGAGTTGAGTTTGTTGCTACATTTTAAACGACACTTTCTTCCGCAAGGAGGTCGAATTTGGCGAGCAGGGATTTCTTTTTTTAGTTTACCGCGTGACCCGTACGCCTTTCCCGAATTTTTGAGGGTTTTGGCTATATTGACCTTCCATATTTCTGGTTTCCTTAGTTTCTTCTTACCCTAGACTACTCCTTCTTGCGCTAGAGTTTCGTTACTTGCAGCATTTTGAATTAGATTGGTTCTCGGCGTTAAAGGACGTAGTGTTGTTTTCATTGAGTATTGAGGTAATATTTTTGTAATGATTCTGAAGCTCGCAAATAGAGAGAGTACTGTTATCTTCAGTAATAGTGTTACTGCTTGAGCTGCTGGAGCTGCTGCTTGATGAACTGTAACTGCTGCTTGATAAAATGGAACTGCTAGAAGAAGACGAAAAGAATCGAGACCGTTTTATTTTTGATGAAGAAGGTGAGTTACGTAAAGGAGAGAAAACTATTTTGCTTTTAGGAGTGGGGTTTCTGTAGTTTGGATCTGCATCGGAATCGTCGAAGTCACATTCATCGCCGCTGTGGACTGGTGATATAGCATATTGACGTTTAGGAACTCTTCGTAGTCTGTTAGCGGTAGTATGCTGCTCATAAAGATTTAAGGAAGGTTCATTATTACTCGGTGATTAAACTAATCTGTCGGCTGGCAACTTAGGCTCATTAAGATTTATTGAAGATTCAATAATACTCGGTGACACAACTAAACTTTTCTCAGTTGGAAACTCAGACTCCTTTACTCTATTAGGCATATCGATACTAAAGGATTTAAGTATTATTAAATCATCCAATATTACAGACTCTCCAGGATTAGGTTTTTCTGCGTTAATCATTTCCAATATTAATTTTCCTCGGCTCATCATTGTCCTAAAATAAAAATGTTGAAATTCATTAACAAAAATAAAGTCAACCAACTCAAAAAATTAAGTAATATCACATACAGATTTTCAAAATGTTATAACGAATTATAAATCTGATTAAAAATGTCATAAGCAACCTATTTTCTTCAAAAAAGTGCCTATTTCTTTTAACAAACCAAAATATCTTAAGATAAAATTTCGTTCAACAAAATTCCAGTAAGTCGAAATTTCTGTTTACTGTCATGTAAAGCTGAGTTACTTGAAATATCGAGAAAAATATTGTAGTGAAATATCATCAAAACCCCCGCAAATCAAAATGAACTATTATTGCCATCAACGAAATTTCAGCAAAACTCAAAATAAAAATTGAAACTTACCTAACAATTTCACACAAAATCTGTCAATTTGCAAACGTCCTCCACTTACGTTTATCAGGTGGCAACTAAAAATGGCGGAGTTGTATTCGCTCGTCTTCTGGCGTAAGTCATTCAACTATACCCATGTTTTGCGACATCTTTCGGCAACGGTTAAAGGTATAGTTACGAATTATATTTCCATGTAGGTATTTGAGTAAGGAATTTGAAAACGTACTAACTCAAAATGAATAATTTTGATTTAGTGGGGTTTTCATCTAGGGGTGCGATATAATTAACTAGGTACGCCACTGCATAAATTTCAGACAAGAGACGTTAGATTTTTTTAAAATTTTTTCAAGGCACAAAGTGATATATACAGGATGTAACGAAAATATGTAAAATAAATTGAAGCTAACTTGCCTGTATAAAAATGGATAGTAAAAAAATTACAGGGTGTTAAAGTAGAAATTGTATGCCAGTACTCAAAAACGGCTTAACATATTTTTATGAAAATTTACATGGGATGTTAGTAAACAGTGACCAATAAAATGGAGTGAGTGGCGTTTAAAATTGTTTGAGATCGATATTACTAACTCAGTAACTAAGACTTTTACTAACAAATACTAAAAGGTATTTTTTTTTTAAATAAATGTAGCAAATTATGAAATGACTTAAAAAACGCAAATTTGTTATGTATGTATACGGAAAAATCGAATATGTTTAAATCGCAAGACATATTTGGACATAAGATTTCAGAGTGTTCTTATATATTAATCAAAAAATTCTCCACGATATAGAAGCGAGGGATTTCCCCTCTTAGGGGAAGTATATGTTTATTACAAATTTTAGCGCGGGTAAGAAGGGAAGACTTTCTATAGAGTAGTAATTGTTCGGAGCAATTATTCCCTATTGTACTTGCAAAAATTTGAAAATAAGTCGTGCATTATTTTTGACAATATTGTTAATATAATTTTGTTGCAAGAGCAATATGGAGATATTTATATTGTTATGTGGTTCATTGAATTGATAAATAATTAGCTTTCAAATGAAGTGTTACACTTTATAATACGTTACAGTTTTTTATCCAGATAGTGGGCGCCAAAATTAAAATTATTGCAATTAACAGTCATATTTCTAAATTCTCCATAAATTTACATTTACATGGTAGTGCCAAACTTTATAATAGGTAATAGTTTTTTATCCCGCTAGAGTGCGCTTAAATTAAAAGTAATGCAACGAACAGTCATATTATTTCTGAATCCCCCATAAAATTCCCTTTTCAATGACGTTGGAGAAGTTGGAGAAGTTGAAGGAATAGGGTTGGCACATGACAAATGTCTGTGTTGTAAAAATGTGTTCAATTTGGAATAAAAATCGACCTGTTTCATAATTTTCTTAAAATGTAATAAATAATCCAAAAAACAGGGTGAAACTGTTTTGAGTGGCACACTCTGTATATCAAAAATCGCTAAATTTATCAAATTCGTTCATACAACAAAATCTGCTTGAAAATACATTTTTTACAAGATGCAATTACATAAGAAAGATTTTCCCATCGAAAAAAAAATATTGAGCGCAGCGCTATCTACATATTGACCTATTTAAAATTAATTTATATCTAAAACTAAAGCTATCTTACTCCTCTGTGAACTGACTTTTACAGAAATAAAATATCTCTATCTCTTACCAAAATATCCGACAAGGGAGGTTTTGTTGGTACACCCTGTATATTTTCGCTTCGGTAGTTAATATTTCTGGTTATACTCTTAGAATACTGTCCATTTTATAAATTTAATTTTGACAAATTTGACACAAAAATAGTTTCAATTTTAACGTTTAAATGTCATTCTGTGAAAATGGCCGAAGTACCAACCCAAAACATTTTAAGTTTCATATCCAACTCCAATAATTATTTTTCTCGATGGCTCGTTACAAGTACACGGATATTTTTTATATCTGAAAATGGTAATGATTGGATGATACACAAGTGGTGAAATTTCTGAAATTTTAATCAACGGATCTGGGAAGTTGTTATGGAAATGTTTATTTTGATTTATTCAAAATCTTCAAAGGAAAAAAGTTTGTCTAGACTTGGAGAGAAAAGTAAACGATGGTTGAAAAGATAATTAAAGTTGAAATAATATAATATGGATTTTGATAATTAAAATGAATCTTTGAAATACAAGGTTATTTAAATTTATTTTAATTTGGAAACCAGAAAGGCAGAGTGAACAGAACAGAGATACCAGCATATGAGATCATGAAAAGGAGAGCTATATCAGATCAGTAGTGTAAGTCAGATTGTTAAAAAAATAGGTGTAATGAGACGGGAAAGCAGAGCAGCCGTAATATAGCAAAATTAAAGTCCTAATAATTTTTTATTTATATTTAAAAATTTTTAGGAATCGAACCACTCAAAGCGTGAGAGATTTGGTTGTTAGGAGATTTAAATTTCTAAATTTGGTTTTCAATTTCCATATCAGTAAATAATATCTTTTCTATTCATCTACTTATATTTAAAATAACTTTATATACAGTATGGGTCAAAATTCGAATGCAAGAGGCTCTATATATAGTAACAAAATGGACAGAGGCGGAAGGACTAAACATTAGCCCAAACAAATCTGACATAATTGCATCACCCACAGGAGGTAATTGGAGGGACTAGGGCCTCTGAACCTAAGAGGTGCAAGCATCCAGCTTAAGGAAGAGGTAAAATGTCTCTGGGTTATGATTGACTCGAGACTTACCTGGAACCAGCTTCTAGAAAAAACCAAAAGGAGAGCGAAAACCTCGTTAATGATGGCAAGGTGATCCTTTTGAAAAAATGGGGGTTAAAACCAGACATGGTATATTGGCTTTATAACATGGTGGTGAGACCGATAATAACATACGCAGCTTTGGTGTGATGGCCAAAGACACAGCAAAGGAAAGCAATAACAAGGCTAAGCAAGGTACAAAGACTTGCCTGCCTCGGAATAACGGGGGCAATGAAAACAACCTCCACTGCTGCAATGGAAGCACTAATAGGACTTCTTGACTATGTGGTGCAAGACAAGTCAAGATTAGGTGCTTACAGATTAGGGAATACACTGGGAAATCTTGACATTAGTCCAGGTCACATGAGTATCTCAAGGTTAGTGACAGGAGACGTGCTAGACATGAGATCAGACCACATAACCAATAGGTACTCTTTTAATACTTCATTTGAGGTTTTAATACTGGAAAGAGCGGAGATCACCATAAGGGAGCCCACTGCCCAACAACAGGAACAAAGCTGGTATACAGACGGGTCTAAGACTGCGAAAACCCTGATACTAACCATAGCTATGCTATAGGAATACATTCCTCGGTATTTCAGGCCAAGGTATACGCAATTTTGCAATGTGCAAAAACGAACAATGAAAGAGCTGTCGAAAATCAGCATGTTCAAATAATGCCAGACAGCCAAGCGGCACTTAAGGCCATATCGAGTCAGAAAGTAACGTCGGGGCTGGTATGGGAATGCATCGAAGAACTAAGATCACTGGCATACCGAAATAGAGTAAAACTATTTTGGGTTCCAGGTCACCAAGGGATCGAAGGCAACGAAAAGGCTGACAAAAAGAGGGAACAACATATTAACTATTGGGGAAGCTTCCTAAAAAAGGCACATGGAAAAGCCTTCATAGGCAGACTATGTCCCAAAAGAACTGGAGAACTACTCTTTATGAATAGAAACCAGTTGGAAGTGATAACAAGGTTCATGACTGAGCACGCGCCCATTAAAGGGGCACTTGAACAGAATTTGTATGTACAATGGGAACTCATGTGCCGACTATGTCACAAGAAACCAGAAACGGCCAAACACATACTGTGCGAATGCGAAGCTCTAGATCGCAAAAAACAGGCTCTTTTTGGACAACCCCAGGTTGATCTAACAACGTATAGAACCCACTCACCCAAGGACCTGTACAAACTTGTACAAGGTACAAAGGTGACAGAGTGGGTGCTATGAACTAACATAGGGTAAAACACAACGAACCAATAGGCTTCAGTGTTGTTTGAAAACATAGTCAGACGAGCCCAGGAGAGAAAAAAATGGCACAAAATTAAGAAATAAATTTGAAATCGATTTTTGGAAAAATTTCAGATGAAGTTAATTTTGGTTTTCAGTTATATACTTTTTGATATAATATTGGAGTATACAATGTGACGCGCGTAAATAATAATAAAATAGTTATTTGTGTACCAAGGTCGTAAAATTGATCTTTTTTGGCTAAATCAGAAATTAGCGGCCGAAGCCTAGCAACTTTAAATAAGACAAAAAAATCATGACGAGGTGCAAACATTTTTAGGAGAAAGTTTCATTTACTTATTTTTTTAAATTTTTAATCGTATGTAGGTTGCACCATTACATAAAAGCTTGTACTGTTTTAAGGCGGGTACAGATCTGAGCACGTTTGAATATGAGCCAAGCCGAGGCCGAACCGAATGGCTTGTTTGGAGCCTCTTGTATACACGAATGATGGACGCCTGAGGCGCTGTTCGACATCGATCCAGTGAATTTACGAGCACGGGACCATAAATCCAGTACACTCGTAAAATTAAAAAGCTGAAGATGATGTAGCAAAGTTGAGTGCCTGTTTTATTATTTTATCTGACGCA